TCAAGAGCCCAATATACTCCAATGTAGCGTGGACGCCCGCGCACGCTAGGGCACAGAGAAGCTACGTTAGCAAAACGCGAGCACTCTATAGTCTGATGCCAGGCGTGACCAGCGTCCCATCGGCACGGCCCGACGGCAACCGGCGCGAAGTACAACATGCTTTATTTCGCGCCTAGTGCGTTACCTAGACAACACTGGGTCTCCCTCTTTTCGTAACGGAGGGATGCCGGATGCTCTGAAACGCGCATGCGTCAAAGCAATGTAGCGCTGCGCGCGCCTGCGAGTATAAGGCAGGACCGGTGCCTGGCGTAGCAACGCCGGCGTAGCGCGACAAAATTAACGGCGGCGAGCACGTGCACCGAGTCACGTCGAAATGTATTGGTGCATTGACCAGTGGCATGTAGTCACGTTCCCACATGACGCGCATCTCATGATTATTATGTTTCCACTGGTCACATACCTTCGTCGTCCATTGGCATCACGTAATACCAAATATAGCATATGTGAAGCTAGCGTAACGGCCGTGAGCGCATCATCAGTGTGGCATGTAGTCATGCTGTTACATGGCACGCATGTCGGGATTATCATGTTTGGATGTGTCATTTACCTATGTCGTCCGTTCGCGTCACGTAATACCGAGTAACCACAGGCGTGCCAACGTGGATAGGGTCAGGGGGGGGGGAGCAGTGGCTTTACCCCTAGTCACGTGAAAAAAAAACGGTTGGGGGCTCAAAATATGCCCCATGCATTGACTTAGCAGGATGGGGAGGAGGGCGCTTGGATGAACTTTTACTCTCAACCCCTCCCCCGCCCCGCACACGCCTATACACTTAGGTACTCAGTGTCATTAACGAACACACTATCCCTCTCCCAGATCCGGCCTTGTGCAGGGCGCAGGCAGTCACCCTAAGACTATTGCAAGCCAGTGCGTATCCTAACCCTGCGGTTCTTCATGCCATCTACCCTGAACGGTATCCAAGTGCGGATTGCCCCGCTTGTGGACTGTTAGCCACATTCAATCATGTGTTGTGGGAATGTGAAGCCATCGGCAACGCCCTCAGCGAGGACAGGTGGGCTGCGCTCTTACGCAGCCCCGAACTTAAGGATCAAATCCTGGCCATCCAGAGTGCCCGTGAACGGGCCGCCAAGCTCGGCTTGATGGTCCCAACGTGGGATTAGCCGGGTGGCGTGGGGTTTCCCCTGCGTCTTCTCAGGACAAAAATAAAGTTTTTAATCAATCAATCACGCTATTAGTGAATCACAAACGTGCCTTGGTAATTGTGATGACTCCAATAAGCATATTTCCTATAAAAATGCAAATAAGCCGCAAAAATGTGACAAGCGACTGGAAAATCTTACAAGCGACTCGGCGTAGAAAGAAGCCCAAATCTGCCTATGATAAGTGCAACTGGCAACCCTTCTGTCTCGATGCATAGAACAGTTGCTGTGCTAAACAGTCTGGAATATGTCACTCCAAAATATTAGAAGTCAGCTCTCGTATAATCATGTGGTCCCTTTAGGTAAGGCAGTTTTACTGTCCAAAGAAATCGGTAAGTAAAACACTTATGGATCTGCTCACGTCATTACCCTAGCTTAATACATGTGATGCGATGGTGTTGGCAACATTTGGGGTATAAGACTGAGATCTTGCTGCCTGATTATCTCCTTAACAATCACATTTTTTAAATGTAAATATTGTCCATAATATGTGTAGGACGTAATAGTACAGGGGTGTTCAAAAATATTTTGTTTCCTGCATGCTCAACGCTTATTCCCAAAGAGTTTGCGAATCGAAGAAACCTAAAATGTATAAAATACCAGTTTTAACTCTATCAAAAGGATGGGTTCTATCACTACAGTCATGTTTTTTTCTCCAAAGTAGAAACAGATGCCAGTGCTTCCTCATTGATTTAATAATTAACAGATAGCTCCAAAACTGCCTTCTCCTTGTTTACCAACACTCTACACTTCGCTCAGACATAATGAGATTTTTATTGACGTGTTTAGACTGTCTGGTGTATTACTGCAAGGTCAAAAAGTGCACAGCCCGTCAGTATAGGCTGTTCATATCTATGCTACCTAATAATAGGTTATTCGATAACCAAATGTGCCACATTCTGTTCTGCTTCTTGAGGAAAACGGTTTTTTTCGCGCATGTTGGCAAAGTAACTGTTCTGTTCGCGCATGCCGGTGAACCAGTGTCGGCAACTGGTTGTACAGTTGGTTGCAGCGTTTTCCTTCACATGCACGAAACTGTATGTCAGCTTCTGATCGAACACAAGCGGAACCAGGCAGGGATATTTTGCCGAAGAAACTACGATCTTTGCACAAAGTTGCCAGATTTTTTTTTTGGGGGGGGGGATGTGCTCAGACACGACGCTTTCTAGTACGACTGACCACCCTTGCAAATTATTGGGATTTTATTTTATTGTGGTATCAGCAAATCTTCGCGGGGCCTACAGTAGTTATAACATTTACCTTGGTCCATAGGATGCCTGCCTTGATGCCGGCGTCCCCTCCTGTCGTGAGAATGCTCACACCCCTTCACCCCGTCATCGCCTTACTGTTCGAACCGGAGGATGAGGAGACACGCGTGCGCTTGTTGTGCTGTCACAAAAGATCAGAGGGTGCCTCATGCATTCGCTTAAGGGGGGTCGAGGGGCCCCGCCACGGTGGTCTATAGTGGCTAAGGTACTCGGCTGCTGACCCGCAGGTCGCGGGATCAAATCCCGGCTGTGGTGGCTGCATTTTTGATGGAGGCAAAAATGTTTTAGGCCCGTGTGTTCAGATTTCGGCGCACGTTAAAGAACCCCAGGTGGTTTAAATTTTCGGAGCCCTCCTCTACGGCGTCTCTCATAATCATATGGGGGTTTTGTGACGTTAAACACCACATATCAATCGGTCAATCAAGGGGTGTCGAAGGTGAAAGCTATCTACTTTTCCTTATAAGTCGATGCATTGATCCTGCCCGTCACCCACACAAACCTCTCCACACCTAACGATGATTTTGCACGGCTCCCAGGATTGGAGGTCTCTCACCTGGTTTTGCATTGCCTCCGTGATGGCTTGGTTGATGACGCTGTGATGTGGCTTCCTGTGACATGACCATAGGTCGGTGAACTCACTCATAAGTCAACTCAGCCGGAGTCAGACTCAGATCAAGCAGTGAGTCTGAGCCTAGAGTGAGTCCTGGGTTAACGATATTTTGGTGGGCTCAAGCCCGAGTGAGTCCAGTTGAAGAAAGTTTTCGTGATTGTGAGTCCGGCTCAGAAAACTTTTGGAGAGTCTTAGTCCAAGTGAGCCCTAAGCGCAAAAGATATGCCTATAGTGAGTCTGAGTGAGCTCCGCCATTTTCGCCGAGCTATGATTATGATGTTACAAAGTATGGTTGTCTGTGACATCACGAGGACGTCATCACATGATGATTTTATGCGTCATTCTTGTTAACGCCGACAACACACACCAGTCAATTTTCGTGTTTGATGGGGCAACTAAGGTTTTGGTCTTAATGGGGTGACACTGTTGGACGTGTCAACCCTGTGTACGATCGAACGCTGGCATCGACACACGACAAGATGAAATAACGTTACCACTTACCTTTCGAAGAAGCCAATCAAACGTTACTTGCCACTTGGCTGCTAACCTCGAATCTGTTGGAAATAACGGTGGTAGATGCTTGATGGTTCAGATGTTGGCACTACACGAGTACCACTATATTGTAAAAAGATTGTGGGGTTTGCCTGTGAGCTCAGTGCTACAGAAAGCGCCAATCAATTACCTCTCACTTGACGTGGCTAGATAATAAGGTATTTCATAAAGATTATCACTTGGCTCCACTGACGAGACCGATGACAAAATCCCCAGGCAACGAGAGCTCTCATGGACCCTTTTCTATGTAACCTTCTTGGCGAGTCGTCTCAGCTTTTACGGCATTCAATGTAGTCCAAGAGACGAAGAGCTGATATTGCGGATCTACTTTAGTAATGAATAGAGGATTTACTCTGAGTAGAAGGAGAAAAAAGAATGTGAAAATTGGCATAATTCTATTTATTTTCGTAATATAGAGATATTTGAGTTAAAATTGATATGTGGAGCTTAACGTCTCAAAACCACCATATGATTATGAGAGACGCCGTAGTGGAGGGTTCCTGAAATTTCTACCACCTGATGTTCTTTAACGTGCATCAAAATCAGAGCACACGGGTGTACAGCATTTTCGCCTCCATCAAAAATGCAGCTGCCACATGCGGGATTTGATCCCGCGACCTTCTAGACAGCGGCCGAGTACCTTAGCCACTAGACCACCGCGGCGCGGCATATGTAGATATCTGCATCAATTTCCTATAGGAATATCATGTGATCTTTTAATGAAACACTTTGTTCATTCTAATTACTCTTGTTATCTTCATTGTTACTTATATTTTTTGTATCAAGGGGGCATGTATATTTTTTTTGCTTTAAGATGAAGCTAAAGCTAAAATTTTATTTGGCCACAATCATAGCAGGCCGGAACGCATTGATTGGGGCTCGGTTTCTCAATTATTACTTCTGTGATAAAAAAAAAAGTTTCAGCTTCCCGCCAACAACTGTTGTGTACCTGTGATGAAGTCATTTTATGAGCCTGTTGTTTTCCAGACTAAAACTGTGATGAGCCTCGAGTAGAGAGGTGGCATATTTTACGTGAGGTTGGCACCATCAGGGGGCCATCGACTACGCTTGCAAGGAATTGCTTCTTCCATTTAATTGCCACGTCTCTTACCCCTTAACGGCTCATTGCAGGCGTCTATATTTTAGGAACTCAGAGGTGACCTCGCATTCACACACCCGCGGTTTAAAGGGAAAAGCGTTAAAACTAGCCGCACACGTTGGAGTGCAGAGCTCCTTTTATTAGATTTTCGAACGCTGACACGGGGCTCAACAGACGCCAGTTATATCGTCGCGCGAATGCCCACAAACTGTTGTGGCCTGCGTACGCAGCCTGACGAAGCTTTCGAAAAACACTGAGTTTAATCGGTGCTTTTTATTCACAATGCAATGGAAACATTAACAAAACAACGACCTTTACCAAGCACTGCATACAACGGCGACTTCAGTTGACAAGACACAACACCGCAACATTTTTTTGTATGTGCGTATGACTTAACAACGTAAAGCACATATTTGAGATACAGGAGTCGCGCAAAACAGGCTTTCATACTCAGTCTAGAAACACAACACTTCACATTCATATATGTACTTTAATCTTTTGAACGAAAGTATTGTACCACAACTATTTTCCTGCAAGGAATAAAACTGACTTAAATTGTTCTTCATATGTTTCCTGTTATCACATTTGTCATCGATATTTATTGGCGAACATGACTCTGTGGCTTTTCGTCTCGCCTCGATTGTCGTGCCTACGCTACGTGTTGTTTTAAATATAATTCAAGGACTAAGTATAACATCTTTGTGGATTTTCAGTTTCATTTTTTTTTTCTGTCTTCGGTGGAGCACCCTCTCCGCGAAGAATTTCGGTCAGTCGAATTTCGTGGATGATTTCTGGGTTGATATCTTCTTTTGAGGATTTAACCGGTTTTCCGAAGAATGGGCCATGTCTGAAAAGAGAAATGATTAGGTAAAAAATTTGGTTATCGTAAGCACAGCAACTTCGTACATCTATGATAACATGCGATTGAGAAAGATTTGAGTTTCCTTGGAAAGCATGTGCGGTGCAGCGCCAGAGTGTCATTGACGTTAAAAAATAGACATTCGTAATCTTGAAATACAACTAAAATAGTACGAAGAAAACAAATTTGAGAGAATTGGGCTTGAAGAGGTGAAAGATTATTGAACTCGGAGTGTCTCTGGAGTGAACGTTTCGACAAATGTTCTTGTCTTCATGACAAGAACACTTGCAGGATACGAAAGACAATTCGCTGCCTTGGAGAAGGTGTAATGGCTGGTCCAAAACAGCTGCTCGACAAAAAAAAAGTGCTCCAAAGTATAACTTCTTGCAAAAAGTGAACATACACAAACAAAAGAATAAACGAAGTACGAAACCACTGGCACACGTAGAAACACGAGAAAATCTGATGCAGGAGAAGTAGAAAGAGAGGTAATAATGTTAAAAAAGGCAGGGAGGTCAACCGAAACAGGGTCCTCCGGTTTGCTACCCTGCAGAAAGCCGAGGGGGAAGAAAAACTGGAAAGAAAAGCAGAGAAGAGCAGGCACGAGCAAAGGAGGAAAGAACAGGAAATGTAGAGAGCGGGAGTATACTGTGACCTGTCTCGTAGGCCACTGGCACGCAAAGAAAAAAAAAAAAAAAATCTGGTCCCTCTACACTCGTGGTGCCAAGCCCGAAAAAAGAGCGTAGCTCAATGGCCTTCCTATTTTCTCTTTTTTGTTTTGTTTCTCTTTTACTTTTCTCTCTTGTTCTGTTTATCGCGGTTTATTTTTAATTTCTTTTTTCTCTGCCCCATGTATACGCGACTTTTTCTCGCTCTCTACTTTTTTACTATTTTTTCACTTTCTCAGTTTGTTTTTCTTTCACTTTCTGTTTTGCTCTTTCGTTTATTACTATCTCTTTTTTGCGTCTCTTTCTGTCCATTTGTTTCAGCGTCTTTCCATGTTTATATGATCTTTATTTCCTCATTTCTCTCCAGTTCTATCTGTGTCATTCCTTTTATTTCATTTTCTTTTTTTCTTTCTTTCTTTCTTTCTTTCTTTTTTCTCTTCTTTCTTCTTTATTTATTTATGAACTCGTTTATTTGCTCATCCGAGTTGTTGCATGTAACGCCTGGCGCACTCGTTTCGATAACCAAGCGAAACGTGAAGAAGTGGCCGAAGAGAGTGCATGCTGCCCGAGTTATTGCTCTCACGAACGATGATAGCTTTTACACGACCGACGGAGTTTCTCCTCGCAAAAAATTTGATATTACTTTTACTCATTAGTGAAGCTTCTAAATTGCTTCGGTGTGTACTACACCAAGGTTTTTTTTTTCATTCGCCGGATAAGAATGATTTGTTGAACAACTTGGCTGTTAAAAGGTCAGCAAGCTCTAAGCGGTTTTCGGGTGTGGTGACAGCTCAGGTCGGTGTTCTAGTACCGACTCTTCTTACAGGGGTCTGTCGTGAAGGCGGGCCAGCGTATAGACGCTAGCGGCAATTTGTACGTGCTGTAGTGAGGACAGTGACAATGAGCGTGTTCCATGCTTTTTTGCTTCTGCAGTGGTTGCAAACAGAAACGCAAAAGCGAAAGTTACATACCACTGTGGCTGTTGACCCTCCGCACTGCTTTTCTGAGATATTATGTAAGCGCTCCATGCGCGAGACGAGAGCTTCAGCATTCGCCGACAACTGGTACTGTATCCCTTCATATGCGCGCAAGTTTCTCATTTCTCATTTCTCTCATTTCTGCACATCTTCTTACGCTGCTCTCATCGCCATGTAATCGAAAAAGAGTTAAAAGTCCTTGCTGAGTGCTGGTGTTGTCCCACAAACAACGATTCCAGTTTACGAGCTGCCAAAAAGAGCGCCGTGCACCGAAAACCGGCCGTGCGTTAAATACCGAGCAAGGCGATTCGAATCTCATTCGCCCTTTTTCTTCAGCTTCATGCCTGTTCGATGCCTGCGTTTCGAACGCAAAGATGCCCCAAAAGAAAAAAGAACAAGCTCTAAAGGAAGGCAAGAAAGTAAAGAGAAGGAGATGTAATAAGGCGCCATTTCACTGCCAGACATGCAAGTCTTGATGGCCACTGCAGTAACGAATAGCTGGAAGGATCGGGGCTTGCAATGCACGTGCCTTACACAGATGGACTTGCGCGCACAGCGTTGCCAGACTGGCCGGGGAAACGCCATGATGCAGCGTGCATTGTGAGACCATCGCAAATACGGCTTCGGTGGCGCCGGCCAAACAGGAAATTGCCGCAGCGCGCAACCACCACTCACGCCAGAAACAAATCGAAAACTCGTTGCCGGCTGTCGCTGCCTTGTCTTCTGTTCTTCGTTTCCTGGTGCGCAGACCAGGTCGGAATGGGAACGGTTCCGCCGAGCGGCACCACGTTATGATCTGACTTGCCTGTGTCTGTTAGGCCGAGTGTCTTTGCACCTTTGAGAGCGTGAATTTGCGTGCACATGCTTGCTCCAAGCACCTAGTTTCATTGAGGCAGCCGAAGAAAAAAAAATACTGCATGTCGTTCTTTTTTTTGAGAACACGCTAGCAATATCTTGCTTTTTTCGATATCTACACTCCAAAGATCAGGCACTGTTTTAGTTCTTGTTTCTTTTACTCTCGTGAATATTGCGGAGTTTACGAAAAACAGGAAAAAAAAAGCAGAGGTGTACCCATAACTTCAGCACTAAAAGGCTTCGCCAGTCGAAATCATGGGAGGAATAGTGAGGCAGTCTCCGTTTAACTATTGTCAAGATGTTTGTTTCTTCTGTGCCAGGCCAATCATGAATGACATGACCTATGTGCACGTACATTCTTTTTTTAATATGCAGACTTTGAGAATAGCTCGACGCACTTTCGGTAGAAATACTGAATGTCCCACGCATTGAATTAAACGAAAAAAATTGCTGACACCCACTTCCAGGAAGACGCTTGCGTTCTTATAAAGGGAAAGGCATGTCAGGGTACGTCTCCCCCTTTTTCTGAATAAATAAATAAACAAATATATATATATATAATGCACCAATGAGCTAGTAACTGGTATATTGACGGCGATGCTCGTGGTACTCAAATTTGCCGTGATTGGGTAATTGTTTCATGCTCCACTCATTCAAAAAGAAGCTTCCTAGAAAAAAAAAAGTGAAACCCCATTCAAGGCTGTATCTCTGATAGCAAATATAGTCTAATAAGCCTAAACATGCTCTTGGTCTAGCAACCATATCAGTTTCACAGACTAAATGGTTTCTTGTACAGTTTCTTTTTTGTCCGGCTGAGATGCCTTTAACTAAACAAAAATGGCTGCACTTGAGAGTAGATGTGAAGGGCCTCAATGATCAAGCCATGAATTTCAAACGATTCCTATCATGATGGACTACATGCAGAAAGAAAAACAAAAAGAAACACTGAATGATTTATTAGAGCGCGAGTTTCACATACACTGTCACTTGTGCTGTGGAACTCTCTAAAGAAGCATCGGACCCGCAGTCACAGGTCTGGTACGACGCCGGTGCAAACAGGTAAACAACCTACCAGTGGGTAGTCGACACAGAGTAATAGAACGCTATACAAAGATAATTTTGTTATTACAAATTTTCGCAAGAATATGCACCTTTCTATGCAGAGTAAGCAAGAGATTAATGCCGGTAAATGACGTTTGAAACATGATTTTGTAAAAGTTGGTGGATCCTCATGAAACGAGATGAAACGAAAAAAAAAATGTAGAGCACACGCATGGCCTATCTGATACTATGTGGCGAGGGCAGTGACCAAGAACGAGTTCTATGGTTCTTTCTAGCTTCCGCAGTGTTTCCACAGGGCACAACCAGTGCGTCACAATAATCGAGAAGAGTAGCGTTAAGGCTTGGCAAGCAAGTCAGGCAAGGCACCCAAGACTGTAGTAAGTAAATTAGTTGAGCCTCACCTCGCGAGAGAGGAATGCGTGGCTGTCGCAGTCCAAGGAGTCTGGGAGGGGGGTGCTTCCTGGACGCGGTGCTTCCTGGGAATCACCGCCTCCGGCCGCTCTCGAACAGGCGCTGCCGGAGAGCCTGCAGGTTCTTCAGGGATGGCTGGTTCCGGTTCAGGATGAAGTCCGGAAGGTCCACGCCCATCATCACTGCACCACGAGAGACAAAATCTGTCTATCTATCTATCTATCTATCTATCTATCTATCTATCTATCTATCTATCTATCTATCTATCTATCTATCTATCTATCTATCTATCTATCTATCTATCTATCTATCTATCTATCTATCTATCTATCTATCTATCTATCTATCTATCTATCTATCTATCTATCTATCTATCTATCTATCTATCTATCTATCTATCTATCTATCTATCTATCTATCTATCTATCTATCTATCTATCTATCTATCTATCTATCTATCTATCTTATCTATCTATCTATCTATCTATCTATCTATCTACTTCTATCTATCTATCTATCTATCTATCTATCTATCTATCTATCTATCTATCTATCTATCTATCTATCTATCTATCTATCTATCTATCTATCTATCTATCTATCTATCTATCTATCTATCTATCTATCTATCTATCGTGAGTTTTGTCACTGCGACAAGGACATGGATATCCCCTGCTGTCACTGTAAGTGTAATTTTAGAGAACATACTCTATCCACTGCTCAAATATGAAACTGAGTTGAGGCACTTAGCAATAACGAGAGACAGACGTTAGCAATGGGAGTAGTCTTGGATGCAGAAATCGGAACGTAGAAATTGAGAACCGCCAACGCCCTGTTTGCTTCATTACGATAACTGAGTGAAATTAGATTTTATACATGCGCCACAACGGTTCTCAAAGCAAAATTTCTATTGACTAAGGCGACTACATTGGAACAATAGATGAGACAGGATGCCTAATTAAATAGAGCAAAGTATGACATTTGCAATTTGCTCAATCGGTCGGCGCACGTCGACCTCGTTTGCGTTATGACCTACGTCATGTCTATGCAATTGGGAAATATGGAAACTGGGGGTATTGATATTTCATTCAGCGCAAAGACGGAGACGAAATCTTTCTGCTTCTCTCATTATTACGCGCGGTGCAAATTGAACTGTAGTAGTTGCGATTCTATTTCGGTGAATAACTTGTTCGAAAGCAAGACATGTAAGTTTTATGAGGGCCTCTCGTGTTTTGCTGACTTTTACGGAGAGTGAGTTTTCGACGAAGGACTCGATGACAAAAGTTGTCCTGAAGACGTGCACGTGGCGTGTTTGTGAGGCCTTCAATCCGTTCGAATTAGTCACGGAATTGAAACTTGCAGAGGCGTGCTTTTCAGGTGTCCTCAAAGGTAGACGTAGTAATGTACTGCGCATACTGATGACGCTCGTAAGGAAATTGAGTTTCGAGAAAGGAATGGCTTGTCGGGGGTGTCCTTCAGGTATAAGTGAAACATTAAGTACCCTGGTACTGAAACGACAATTTTACCTGGAGCCGAGAAAGATGAGAAAGAGATTGTTCTTTTGCTGGCTGGCACATGCGTTAAAAAAATGTGCGTTTTGCCATTTCAAAGGTGCTGGAATAGGGAATGTAGTATGCGTGTTTAAAATTTCGCCCGAACAACGGCAAGAGACGTGGTCTCTTTTTTTGAAGTGGTTCGCGATCGATAACTCTGGCCCTTCGATTAACTTGATTATTCAGCGGAATCTCACATTGAATCGCACATTCTTTCAAACGCGAGCTGTGCCGATATCGGGCTTTTATCTTGGACTCGTTGAGAGTACTTCATGCATTGTTTATGTACGAACGGACTTCAGTGAACGTCTGCTGAATGCGAAGGTTTCCACGAACAATCCTTTCTTACTCGTTTTTGCCAATGCTCTTGTTTCAGCTCTGTCTTGCTTTCTCTCATCATCCTTGAAGTATTATTACTCAACACAAATGATTAAATTTACGACTTTAAAGAATGCCTACGCTTCACCTGATCTAAAGCCGGAATGAAAATTGAAAGAGAAAATGTTAGGCACTATTATTAAAGAAAACTTAGTTCGGCCCTATGGAATCTGTCAGACTGGTTTCGATGGAGTAAATTAGGTTTGTTTCCAAAAGTAGACGCTTTTGGGAGGTGAAACTTGTTGGTGCAAAATTATCGGCTCAGCTCACCATGGATGATTCTGATGTCTGTTCACGCCGGACGGGCGCGATATAGATGCCGAACTACGTGTCACTGAAGAATTCGAGAAAGTTCAGGAAGGATGAGACAATTGGCTGTTACTAAACTATTGGACACAGTGTCCTTCTCCCCAACCTCCGCTTTCAGCCTTCACTTTCCATCCAAGTAACAGTAGTGTATGCGTTCTTCAATGAACAATCCAACTTAGTCTGCTTTGGTTGAACTTCAGGATCACGTAGAGAGCTCATGACTCAGCTAACCCTATTGAGCTTGAGAGCAAGCATAACAGCGAAACAAAAAGGAAGAGGAAAGGCACGGAGATTAACCAAGCAAGAAAGTCGGCACCGGAAGTGAGGTGCAAAGACAATTTGTGTTATTGATATATTGAGTTTAATTGGGCAAATTTCTCATGCTTGATTTCCGGTGAGCCTGAGTGAGCTTGATTTCGTATTTCATATGCGTGCGGAAGTAAAGTGCAAACTGGCCGCATATTTTTGGCACCATGAAGACCTGGTGCAAGGAGGATTTATTGGCCTTCCTTTTTATATGGTGCCACAAAAGCTGAGAAGATTGTGAGCTGGATTCATTTAACGCAGAGAAGACTAGTTGACAGACTAATCTGAAAAATTATCTGGTAAGTGCCGAGTTCATTTTAAACTATAATAAGGAAGTGAATTTCGCAGCTTACTTGTACGCTCAATACATAAGAGTATATTAGAGCTTGCTTTTGAGTAGCATTGCAATTCTAATTTTTTTTTGGGGGGGGGGGGGGAATGGGGTGCCTTTGTTTAGTGTTCGTCATCAATAACCCACCGCAGTGGTCCAGTAGTTATGGTACTCGGCTGCTGTACCGAAGATCGTGGGGTGGAATCCCAACCACGGAAACGTCATCGCAAACGAGGCGACATGCTGAATAACCACGTATTTTTTAGATTAAGGGGCACGCCGAAGAACCCCACGGGAACGAACTTTCAGGAGCCACCCAACACAGCCCCAATCATAATCATATCGTAGATTTCGGACGTAATACCATGAATAACTGTTAGTTATATTACTTCGTCAATTAATTTCCGTACCCTTTTCATTACCGTATACAGATAACCCTAAAAGTGAATTTATAAAAAAATCTAGAAGCAAAACTATAGTAATGTAACTGCAAAAATTCTTCAGATGGCTGAGAGCACCCATACATGTTACACAGTTGCGTAGAAGGAGAGAGAGAGAGAGAGAGAGAGAGAGAGAGAGAATAAAACATTCATTGGTAACAAATAAGTCGACATAGTGGTTGAACCTCCTATTCCGGAAGACAATTGGCTCTTGCCGCACCCGAGCTCGGTCGACCAGGGCTAGTTGCTGCACTGGGTCAGAGCTGGACAGGGTTGCCTCCCACTCGACTAATGTAGGATTATGATTGTCCGATATTCTGGGAGTGTTTTGGCACTCCCTTACCATGTGAAATAGAGTGGCCGTATGGGGACAGAATATACAATGCGGATTGCACATTGAAGGTTCTATCTTTGACAGTACATAATAATTTGGAAATGCTGATGATTGTAGTCGTCTCCACGCGACCTGCGATGCCTTATCTAATTTAGGGTCCGGTGGGGGCAGAGTGCGTCTACTCAACCTGATGTGTTGCGGAATGTCAGTATACGAAAGGAGGGGCTGGGGATCGTCCTAGTTAGCAAGAAGGTGTGCTGGGGATGAAGCCATGAATGCCCTGTGTAATCGATCGCGGGCAGAGGTATAAGCACGTTCATTACCTCTAACTCCTGTGTGCCTTGTTACCGTAGCAGTTGTATCCACTGACCCTCTTGATGACGGGCCACAGCCCGTTGCAGAATTGAATGTGCAAACCGGTCGACTTTACCTCTAGCAACATTGGGATACGCCGCTTGGGAATCCGTGAGGACAAAGAGGGCTTTTGGGTTACGCATAGCTAAGGCTATACCAGCCTCTTCCATGGATGTGATGTCTACTCCGCTAGCTGAGATGCAGTCCACGGCTTGCCCCTGCTTACCACGGCTACCGTGGCGCGGTTGTGCAGGGGTCCGGTGGCATCCACAAAGAAGGCGTCTTCACAATCTGAACATTTGTCATAAGCTTTAGCTCTGGCACCTCGTCTCTTTTTGTGATGGACGGGGTGCATATTGCGTGGCAAAGGCCGAATATAAATTTCCTTTTGCCATTTTTGTAGTGGTGATAGATTATCAGCGACCTGAATCGGTGGATTTATGCCGAGAGTGTCTAGCGTGGCGCGACCTGCCTTGGTATTGTTATGCCAGCGAGTCCTCGTCAAACGACCGTGCCTCTGAAAAAGGCTATCTGGGTCAAGGCCAGCCCGCAGTCGGCCTGGCGCGATCACTTCGACGGCGTGAACACGCGCGGCGCCCCTCTGGCCCAGGTGCAGTGAGTCAGCTGTGCACGTGACAGCGAGCCGGCGGCCGCGTGTCTGGTGGTCTGACGCATGGCGCGGCGGCCCCCATTGGCGGAATCTGCCCTGACGACCAGCGGCGCTTCTGATTGGACATTTTGGTTGGACCCGGTGTAAATAAAAGAAGCCCTGCGGCGCGTCGCGATCGGCGGTCCTATGTGAGAGGCGTCCCCGTGTCGGAGTGCCGACATGTGTGTTAGTCAGCGGTCTTAGGCGAAAGACTGACCTATGTGTTAGAGAGAAGAGCTCGGCTCTTCGAGTCTCTGTCGGCCCCAGTGCCGAAATTGTAACGCCTCTGTAAATATGCTGTACATAAACCTTGTTTAACTCACCGTCGTCTCGTCCGCTCGTCTTATCAGCTCTGCGCAGAAGCAGTCGCGAGCTTATAAACATACGCTACCAAACGGCTGGTGACCTTCCCGGCGGAGTTGAAAGCAGTGGCGCCTCCGGGGCCGTGTTGGCGTCGCCGTCTTTCGCAACAGTGGTGGCTTCGGCGGGATCGGTCCGTCGTTCGCAACAGTGGTTGGCAGCTGCGGG